TCTCCCTCCCCCTCTCCCATCCCCCCTCCAGTCCCCCTTCCTGATGGACTGCCCTCATCAACCAATGGCCACATAACCTTGGACTTGAACTGGCAGAATTATGAGCCACAGTAGACCTCTTGTTTTACAAGTGTGCCATGTCAGGCATTTTGCAACAGTGACTCATAGCTAACCAAATACAACACCCTCCTCACCTCCGGGAGAGCTTTGGCTCAAGTGGTAGAGCACCAACCTTGGGAAAAAAACAAAAAGCTAAGGGATAGTGGCTAGGCTCTATGTTCAAGCCCCAGTACTAGAAAAAGATTGGGCTGTGTGTAACTTAGACTCAAGCATCTACAGAGAGGTTTAAATTTGTCCACTGCTTTCCATTTCTTAGAACTTCATAAACCAGCAAGATTCCATGCTTCCCATTCTCTAAGACTCACAAAATTGCAGGAAGTAGTTTTCTATATTAACTGCGGATTCATGTTATAACTAGAAAAAAAGTCTTCTTTTTTTGTTTTTTGTTTGTTTTGTTTTTTTGGTTGGTTCTGGGGCTTCAACTCTGGGCCTGGGCACTGTCCCTCAGCTCTTCAGCTCAAGGCCAGTGTTTTACCACTTGAGCCACAGCACCACTTGCAGTTTTCTGGTGGCTAATTGGAGATAAGAGTCTCACAGACTTTCCTGCCCAGGCTGGCTTTGAACCGTGATCCTCAGATCTCAGCTTCCTAGGTAGCTAGGATTACAGGCATGAGCGACCCATGCCTGGCCTAGTTTTAGAAACAGGCTGATTTTGAAAGCACATTTTCCCAATTCCACAAGGGGGCTCTAAGCAGGACTGAATTCCTGGACAGTTTGTTTAATCTTCCCTGACAGCTCCTTTTTGCTGTCAGCCTCTGTCCAGGAGTCCACACGTCTCTCAGCAATGGGAATGAGCAATGGCAGGCAGGATTTCCTGAACACGGTGGCGGCACTGTGCTTTACATCTTCATACCTGCTAGAGTGGATTTCTGAGGTGGTTGGGCATTTTTGTTGTACATTGTTTGTTTTTGGTTTTTTGCCAGTCCTGGGGCTTGAACTCTGGTCCTGGGCACTGTCCCTGAGCTTCTTTTGCTCAAGGCTACTGCTCTACCACTTGAGCCACAGTGCCAATTCCAGCTTTTTCTATGTATGTGGTACTGAGGAATCGAACCCAGGGATTCATGCATGCTAGAGACACACTCTACCTCTAAGCCACATTCCCAGCCCATGTTGTGTTTTTTGTCTGTTCGTTTTGCATCTCGCTTCAAAGGTTCATTTCTCAGCAAAAACCAAACACACACACACACACATTTAATCAAATGAGATGTGTCAGTAGCTTCATCCAAATGTGAAGCATCTTTTGTTGTTGTTGTTAGAGATTTTTACTGGGTCAGTTTGAGACTATGTAGCCTTGCCTGGCCTGGAATTCTCAAATCTCTTTCTGCCTTTGCCTCCTGAGTGTACTAGGATAACAGATGTGCTGCTTGTTTTTTGAGATAGAGATAGAGAGGGAGAGGGAGAGAGAGAGAGGGAAGGGAGAGGGGGAGGGGGAAGGGGGAGGGAGAAGGAGGGGGAGGGAGGGGGAAGGGGGAGAGAGCCAGTACCAAGGTTTGAACTCAGGGCCTCAGGCTCTTGCTCAACTGTTTTTGCTCACTGGTGCTCTTGTCACTTAAGCCATGCCTCTAGTTTCCAACATTTTGCAGGTTCATTGGAGGTAAGATTTGTCTACCTGGACTGACTTTGAACTGTGATCCCCAGATGTCAGTTTCCTGAGTAGCTAGGGTTACAGGTGTGATCCACTGCACATAGCCAGCTATTAGTCACACTTTCAAAAGATAGAGAGACTGAAGTACAAAGTAGGTAAGTGACGTCACAGGCCAAATTATGTCCCTATTTAAATTCCTGTTTTGGAAACCACAATGTCATTGTATTGGGAAATAAGGCCTTTAAGGACATAAAAATAATTAAGGTTAGATGAGGTTGTAACAGTGGGTCTCTAACCTAATGTCCTTATAAGAGAAGAGATACAGGAGTGGGGCAGCCCAGAGGAAAGAGTGCGCATGCCCAGGAGGCAGGCAGCACCTGCAGACGGGAGAGACCTCAGCAGGAACTAGACACAAGGTCACCTTGACCTAGGATGCGCAGGCTTCAGAGCTGCGCAGCAATGTCGTCAGGTGTATAGGCCCACACATTAATCCAGGGAACTAAGCTGAGACTTCTCACCTGTAGGAAGGGCTGGGAGTGGACTCAGGTCATTTGGTACTTGAGTGTGGGCTTTTTAACCATCTGGCACGGCGTCTCTTGTCCTGAATAGGAGTCCTGGTGACAGGCAGGGTGACCCCAGGGACTCCCCGTGTGTGGGGGAGAAGCTGGTGGACTGTCCACTCAAGGGTACTGTTGTTATCTGTTGTGGGGACACACTCACCCCACCACCACCCCTGAGGCTGTGGTCAGCTCCGCCTCCCCAGCCTTACAAACTGCAGCTGGGCACCATTGAGAACAAGTTAGGTATAGAGTAGACACCCACTTTTCTGAGGTCTTTGAAAGGAGATAGTGAAGATGGTGCTTCCTGCCCCAATCCCACCTCAGATCTCTCAGCCTTGGAGAAAAGGAAGGTGTGGAGAGGCAGCCCTGCCCTGGCCAGGAGCAGGTGTTGGGGGCCTCATGCAGGCTAGCTGGGGAGCAGAGGCTGCTTCCCCCACCCCCACCCCCACCTCTCCTCCTGACCAGCAATGGCTCACAAGGGGCTCAGAGGAGGCCACAGCCCACAGTGGTCCTCAGAGAGGGAGAACATCTCCACCACTATCCACGTGTCCCCAAAACAAGGCCCCCTATTAGGCCTTCTTTCCTTTTAGGACCAGCCTGCCAGCACACGCCAGATCATTCCTGCAGCCACACATCCTTAACAATTCTTTCTCAGAAAAGTTGACACAAAGAACAACCAGAAATTAAAAAAAAAAAAGTGTGATGTTAATTTGTAACAGGATCATCACTGGTGGTATTCTATACTTGTGGAATTTACTCTTTTAGATTTAATTTGGAATACCTGAATTAGATATTTAATATTTTAGCCAACAAATAATCTTTAACATAGAACTTCAGCTGTGCTCTTTTTAAGTCTCTTCCTGAGATACATAGTAAACTTAGAGACATTTCAAAATAACCCAGAAGTACAAGAAGGTGACAGAGAGAAAGCAAGATTGACCAACAACTGATGTTGTACTGAACAGGATTGTCTTTTTTGGTGGTACTGGGGTTTGAACTCAGGGACTCATGTTTGCTAGACAAGAACTCTGCCACTTAAGCTAGTTATTTCTCAGACAGTGTTGCTTTTTACCCAGGGACAGCTTCAGATCAAGATCCTCCTACCTATGCCCCTCACATAGTTGGAATTAGACATGAACCCTCACTCAGCTCATTTACTGAGATGAGGTCCCCACTTTTTACATGAGCTGGCCTTAACACAAGCCTTCCAATCTCTGCCCCCTAGGTAGATGGGATTCTAAGTGTGAGTCACCAAACCCCATCATTTTCTTGATTTTTTTTCTTCCCGGAACTGGGGGAGCATTCTACCACTGAGCACACCTCTAGTCCTTTTTGGAAGATGTTTGAACTGTCCCATAATAAAAATATGCTTGAGACTTGGGTGAAAGCATGTACATGTACCTATGGATGTGTACATATGAACTTTTGTTTTAAACTAAAAACAATGTACTAGGAAGGATTCTATTCCAAAGCATTTATTACTCTTTAAAAATCAGACTGTATGCAGTTGCCCTTCATGGAGTTCTGTGCCTCCCTCACCATGGTCCCACGCAGCCTGCAGACTGCCCCCACTTCCCATCATCCTCGCTGTCCTGCGTGTCCTCCCTGTCCTCCCCCCATGGTTCCTGACAACACTGAGCAGCAGGGCTGATCGGAGCCACGCCAGCAATCTCGAGCCCAAACGCTTCACCAACAGCTGTACACATTCCAGATACATAGAAAAATAATATAGTTAGGATTTATACAAAGTGGAGTTTTACAAAAACCACCTCACTACAAGAAATACACCTTCCATCCACGCGTACAGATGGGGAAGTGCATGTTGAAGAAAGACATTTATTCAGGAATGCTGGGTGGGAAGGCAGACCGATCTAGCTCTGGTTCTGAGCACTTCAGTCCTCAAGCAGGAATTTCACTCCATCCTAAGCTCAACTCGGCTCCTGCAGGGCTTAAACGGCCGTTCCTCTCTCCAGGTTCTGCTTGATCTCAGCCGTGTACTTGCCATAGAAGCGCTCGGCTTTCTTGTTGAACTTGGCGTTCCTCTCATTAATGTAGTCGATGTCGGCATCATCATTGTAGGGGCGTCTCCGGCTGTATTTGTCTCGCTTCTCAATTCTGGGGGAAGGAAACCACGTACACAAAGTCAGAAGTGCCTCGACCCCGAGGTTCAGAACAGAATCGGTACTAGACAGGAGCAGATTCAAGTAGAAAGTACTGACTGGCAGCAGAAGTGGGGAGGGAGCATGGGCCTAGTGCCTGCTCTCACTCAGAGCCCTTCTGGAAAGCACTGGCACTGTCAGGAGTCCCACAAGTGAAGTACCACTTAAGACCATTATCAGCCAATTACACTACCTCTCACAACTCAGCTAATGCACGCATGTGCATGCAGGGCCCACCGTGTGCACTGACTCAGCACACACTGCACTCTGCTCTGCCAGTGTCATCTCCAGCAGCAGAGATTAACAGGTACAGTGACTAGAACATGCTTGCCTCTTCATAGTGGAGTAAAGGCCCTTGGAGAGTGGCTTTCTTTAGGCTCCTTTGATCACAACTATTACAGCTTGGATCTGAAAGAGCCCCCACCACTGAAGGTGTATCGATTGAAGGCTGGGTCCCTAGCCCATGGTGCTACTGAGAGGTGGGGGCCCAGGCAAAGTCAGGTAGTACTGGGGATGTGCCTTAAAAGGGCTACTGGAACCTCAGCTCCCCACAACCCTGCCCCAACTTGCTTCCTAGCCCAGGCTCAAAGCACCTGGCCAAGCAACCATGGATTGAAGTCTCTCAAGCCTTGAGCCAAAAGAAACCCTTCCTCCTCTAAGTTGTGAATCTGGGGTATTTTGTTGCAGGGACAGAAAGCCGATTAACACATTTCAATTGCATCTCCATTCCAAACCACATGGATTCCAGTCATTCTGCAAAACCAGAAGACATTGGGTTAGAGCAAGCTAGTCTCACCTCCGCGTGTGTGATTCATGCCAGTCAGCACATCAGACCCAGAAGCATGCAGCCCTGCCAGGTACTTACTGTTTCTCCAGATCTATGACCATCCTATCAATCTCCTCTGAGGAAGGCACATGTGTCCCATGAAGAAGACTGTTGGATGTTGGGAAAAACTCCTCTCCACTGAAAGACAGCAAATGGACTGTTAATGTCAAATGCACCAGTTTCAAATCTTAAATCAGACTATCAGGCATGGAGAGCAAGATCTGAGGATTGTGGTTCAAAGCCATCCCAAGCAGTAGAGTCTATGAGACTCTTGTCTCCATTAAACCACCATAAAAGCCAAAAGTGAAGCTGTTGCTCCAGTAGTAGAGTGCTAGCCTAGGACAGCAGTTCAAGCCTGAGAACAGGCACAAAAAATAAAAAATTAAGAAAAATACACACATATGCCAGGTGCTGATGGCTCACACCTGTAATAATACTCAGGAGGCTAAGATCTGAGGATCGTATCTCTACGCCAACCCAGGCAGGAAGTCCATGAGACTTATCTCCAGTTAACCACCAGAAACCCAGAAATGGTGCTGTGGCTCAAGTGGTAGAGTGCTCACCTTGAGCTGAAGAGCTGAGGGACAGCTCCCAGGCCTAGAGTTTAAGCCCCTGACCAACATAATCTTAAAAAAATACACACATGGGGCTGGGAAGTTGGCTCAGTGGTAGAGCTCTTGCCTTGCATGCCTGGGGCCTTGGGTTCGATTCCTCAGCACCACATAAGCAAAAAGAAAAAAGCCGGAAGTGGTGCTGTGTCTCAAGTGGTAGAGCGCTAGCCTTGAGCTGAAGAGCTGAGGGACAGCGCCCAGGCCCAGAGTTCAGGCCCCATGACCGGACCAAAAAAAAAAAAAAATACACACATATATTTGCTATGGGATACAGTTACTGTGAAAGAGAGGGAAGAAAAGGAAGGAGGGAGAGAGGATTAGCAAGAACTAAGAAGCCAGGCACCAGTGGCTCACACCTATAAATCTAGCTACTCAGGAGACTGAGATCTGAGGATCACAGTTCAAAGCCAGGCTGGACAGGAACGTCCACGGGATTCTTACTTCCAATTAACAAAAAGTTAGAAGTGGAGCTGTGGCTCAAAGTGGAAGAGTGCTAGCCTTGAGCAAAGGAGCTCAGGGAGAGCAACAGGTCCTGAGTTCAAAGCCCATGATCAACTGAAAAAAAAAAAAAAAAAACCTAAGAAAACACCTTCATCTTGGGGTGAATGGAATGAGCCAGTGGTCAGGGGTGAAGGACTTAGTCAAGATCACAAGCTCAGGCTATGTCTCTTTCTACCAAAGCAGGGGTCTGCATATACAGCCCACCACATACATCTTCCTTGGAGAATACTTTTATGGGGACAGTTAAGTTCACTTGGGTTGGCTTTCATATCGCAGCAGCACAGGTAAGCAGGCAAGGCTACCACCCCAGCGCTCAGGCCTACCACCCAATCTGGTAAGCTGGCATGAAGAACTTAACACTCAGAAGGCCCAGAAACCAGATGGCTGGCTCTTCAAAGAACAACGAATGGTGCTGTCAACACAAGACAGCCATCCTTAGCAGCTGACACTCCCCACCTCTCGCTGAAGCCAGAGTAGTAATGTGTGCAAACACAAGTCCTCCACGCCCTCAGGAGGGTGGAGCTACTTTATGACCGAAGACTTACTGCTTTTCTCTCAGTCGTTCATAGGCTTCCATGTCAGGTTTGATCTGCTTGGTCAACCGATGATACTGGCGCAACTGGGCAGCGGCGTAATCTAAGAAGCAAATGAGAATCCGGATGACACATGTCCTTGTTTGGGCATTTGCTATCGATTTCATTTTATCACAAGGAGGAAAAATAAGCAGCTGAGCAGTCTGTTTAGGGTCTGCACTTTTCCTGGCCTCTTGGAGAATACTGCAGGGAGGAAGCACAGGAACACTGCTCCATGACTCAGAAACTCGGCCATGTAACAGGCCTGCTCAGCAAAGTCAAGTTCAAGTGGTCACTTCTACCTGAAAACCCTAGGTCAGGGTTTTTCCTCTTCTTTTTCCTCTCCCATCTCTCTGCATCCTCTGCACTGATCTCCAGCAACTTCACTTTCTCATAGTCTTCCCCTCTTGCTGCGCATTCCTGGAAACAGCAACAACGTAGGTAGATTAGTAGGACTGCATATGCCTGGATTACAGGTGAGCAACTACTGCACCCATTTCAAATTGGGAACAATACTTTTTTTTGGGGGGGTGGGGTGGTGGTACTGGGGTTAGAACTCAGGGCCTCAAGCTTAGCAGGTAGGTATTCTATCACCTGATCTTTGCCTCCAGCCCTTTACATTTTGAAGGGAATTTGGGAACCTGTTATGGTACTTTAGTAACAGCAGAGTACACAAAACTTATGTTTTATCTGTATTAGCTCAATGAATTAAAAATTTGCTCAAAAATTATTATTAGAGCCCCAGTTTTATAGATAAAAACAGAGTCATACACAGGTTAAGTAACCTGCCCACAGTGTGACAGTAGGTAAAGAGCAGACAGAGCCTTGTCAACACTTTCTTCTGTCGTAGTAAGAGTATGGTGGAAGAAATGGCTGATGGATACAAGGAAGCACTTCCTAACCTTTTTCTTTTCTTCTTCCTGTAGTTCCCATTCCAAACGAGCTTTTTTGGCTTCCCAATTTGCAGGCAACTTAAGTCTTTTATCTTCTTCCACAACTTCTTGGTGATTTAACTTACGAGCTTCATTCTAAAAATTAAAAAAAAAAAAATTGTCAGAGCCCGGCAGGGTGGCCCAAGCCTGTATTCACAGTACTCAGGAGGCAGAGGCAGAAGGATAATGGGAAGTCCACAGAGGCTGGGCTAACAGTAAAACCTTGTCTCAAAGGTAAATTAAAAAAATAAAAGGGCAGGGCGCTGGTGGCTCACGCCTGTAATCCTAGCTACTCAGGAGGCTGAGATCTGAGAATCGAGGTTCAAAGCCAGCCCGGGCAGGAAAGACCGTGAGACTCCTATCTCCAATAAACCACTAGAAAAAACCTGAAGTGGTGCTGTAGCTCAAGGGGTAGAGCACTAGCCTTGAGCTGAAGAGCTGAGGGACAGTGCCCAGGCCCAGAGTTCAAGCCCCATGACCGACAAAAAAAATAAATAAATAAAAGGGCTGGGGCTGGGCGCTGGTGGCTCACGCCTGTAATCCTAGCTACTCAGGAGGCTGAGATCTGAGGATCGTGGTTCAAAGCCAGCCCGGGCAGGAGAGACTGAGAGACTCCTATCTCCAATAAACCACCAGAAAACCGGAAGTGGCGCTGTAGCTCAAGTGGTAGAGCGCTCACCTTGAGCTGAAGAGCTGAGGAACAGCGCCCAGGCCCAGAGTTCAAGCCCCATGGCCCACCCAAAAAAAATTTTTAAAAAATTAAAAAAAGGGCTGGGAATGTGGCTTAGTGGTAGGTAGAGTCCTTGCCTAGCATGCATGAAGCTCTTGGTTTGATTCCCCAGTACCACATACACAGAAGTGACATTGTGGCTCAAATGGTAAAGTGCTATCCTTGAGCAAAAGAAGTTCAGGGACAGCGCCCAGGCCCCAAGTTCAAGCCCCACAACTGGCAAGGAAAAATACAAATACACAAAAATGATAATAAAGATTGTCAGATGAAACATGATGAAATCCAAATACATCTTGCCTTCTTCGCAGAGGGCCAAGTAGGACACATTGACAAGGTGACCCCTTTTCCCTACAAGCAATAAAAGCCATCAAATGATTTTAAGCAAAGAAGTAACCTAAAAGGCACACAATGATATAGTGTAGGTTTTAGGTATAAGATCTCTCTCTCCCTTTGTTTTTGGTGGGTCCTGAAGCTCAAACTCAAGGCCTGGGTGCTATATATTTTTTGTTCAAGGCTAGCACTCTTTATCACTTGAATCACAGCTCCACTTCTGGTTTTTTGGTGGTTAATTGGAGATAATCTTCAGACTTTCCTGCCTGGGCTGACTTCAAACAGCGATCCTCAGATTTCAGCCTCCTAGGATTACAGGTATGAGCCACCAAGACCTAGCTTCTTGTTGTTGCTGGTACCAAGATTTGAACTAAGGGCCTCTGGCTTTCACTCAGCTTTCTTGGTTTTGTTTTGTGTTTAAGTTTCAGCAATGTTTTATTTTGATATAACAGGATTAAAGTAGAGAAAAGTAGAAAAAGTCAACAACAATCCATTTCCTGTTCCTCATAGACAAACTTAGAGTCAGCTCTCTTGCTCACAGCTAGTCTCTACCATATGAGTCATTTCTCTAGTCCAGCATTTTGCTGCTTAACTGAAGAAGAACTCACGAATGTTTCTGCCTAGACTGGCTTCAAACCACAATCCTTCAAATCTCAGCATCCTGAGTAAGAAATTACAGACATATGCCACCAGCATCCTGTGAGACATGTGTTCTTTACACAGTCCTTAATATTAAAGCACATCTGTTTATTAGACTAATTTTTTTGACAGAAGATACTCCAACGACTAAGGGTGTGGCTCAGTGATACAGAGATTACCTAGCACGGTGAAAGCAGAGTTTGCTCCCTAACACCTCAAGAAAGAAAAGAGGAAAACAGATTATCACCTTCATACACTATTGGTTCTGTTGGTGTACTCTGGTTTGAAGTCAAAACAAAGCTGAGTTTGAAGGAAAGGGCAAAGCATACAGACCATTTGATTGACAGTGTTGAATGGGGCTGCTGACAAGGCTTGAGTTCATCTGATTACTGGGGTAAGAATCAAGGCACTGTCAGGCAGAAGGGGCATTCTTTAAGGACTTTAGATTTTTATGTAACAGGCAGATATAATACAGTGACACAATAATTGGTAGTGAGTGAGTAGTAGTGGGGCAAAAGTGGCTCCCACCTGTAATCCTAGTTACTTGGGAAGCTGAGATCTGAGGATCACAGTTCAAGGCCGGCCAAGACAGAAAAGTCCTCAAGACTCTTATCTCCAATTAGCCACCAAAAACTAGGAAGTGGAACTGTGGTTCAGTGGTAGAGCACTAGCCTTGAGATGGAAAAAGCTAAGAGGCAGCACCCTGGCCCTGAGTTCGTGCTTCAGTACTGGCATGAAAGGTCCCCACCTTAAACGTCTGGGGACAAAGCAACTCTTACCGACACTTCACAAGTCTCTTCCACTTCTGGCTCTACATATTTCCCTAGATAAAACGAGGAGTTTGTGCAAATGATAAAGCAGGAAAGCTGTGAATAAAAGATTCCTAAATCAAGCCCAAAATAAATCAGCTCGGGGGCGGGGAGAGAAATGGGGGAGCAAGCAGATAGATGTTTCAAAGTGATCTCAACGTGCTGAGGACTGACAAGCACAGGGTGGGGGCTGGGGGGATACAGTCCTGCCGAGTTCGGCGCGCAGGCCTGGCCCAGCCAGGTGACGGGTTCGAGGGCGCCTCCCCCGCAACTCACCCGCTTCAGGTGCAGCTCTCGGAACTTGCGCAGTCTCTGTTCGCGCTTCTGGGCAGCCAAGTCCTCGGTCGCCGTGCCGGGCTCCTCCTCCGTGCAGTCTCCCGCCACCTACGGCAAAGGGAACCGGCGTCAAGCAGGGCTCAGCGCCGCTCCTCCCGAGCCGGTCCGGGCCGAGAACGGGCGATGCCCGCAGGCCAGGCCCGGGCCCTCGACTGCCAGCCCCGAACTCCCCGTGTCGAGTGCCGTCCCGTCTCAGCAGCCGGTTCCGTCTTCGTTTTTTGTTCCTCTCTCTCCGCAGAAGCATGATCAACGAAATCCCCGGAGTAGGGCTGGTAGCACCCACCTTCTGGACGTCGGTAGCAGCCGCCATTACTGCCTTCCTCTTCCTACTTCCGGCAACAACGCGAAGCACTTCCGGAGGCCCTAGTACAAATAAGCTGCCTCAGGCTCCTCCCCTTCCGGGCTTTGAAACAGACCAATCCCCGCCCCTTTGAGTGGTGTTTTCTTATTGGACAAGGTCATGCGCAGCCGTCCGAGACTTCAGAGAAGCCTGACGGCCCCTCTGGGCGCTTTCCTTCCCTGCTCGGAACCTGTTGCTGCCCAACCCGTGCTAACGTTGGAAAATTGCAGTAAGGTGTTGTTCTATAATAGGAATACGTGAAATTATTGTTTTCTGAACTAGTTACACATAGAAATGAAAAAGTACTTTTCCAGCAGGGCGCCGGTGGCTCACGCCTGTAATCCTAGCTACTCAGGAGGCTGAGATCTGAGGATCGCGGTTCAAAGCCAGCCCGGGCAGGAAAGACTCTTACCTCCAATAAACCACCAGAAAACCGGAAGTGGTGCTGTGGCTCAAGTGGTAAAGCGCTAGCCTTTTTTTTTTGGGAGGGGGGGGGTCCAGTCGTGGGCCTGAACTCAGCCTGAGTAGCTACCATTACAGATGTGAGCCACAAACAGTTGGCTAAGCAACTGTTTTTTGTTTTGTTTTGTTTTTCTGGTCTTGGGGCCTTAACTCTGGGCCTGGGCGCTGTCCCTCAGCTCTTTAGCTCAAGGCTAGCACTCTAACACTTGAGCTACAGAGCCACTTCTGGCTTTTTCTGCTTATGTGGTGCTGAGGAATCGAACCCAGGGCCTTATGCATGCAAGGCAAGCACTCTACCACTGAGCCACCTTCCCAGCCCAGCAAATGTTTTTAAATAGAGTACATGGAGAGCAGTTCAACCTCATCACCTTTAGAATAGGATCAAAGTATGGGAACCAAGTCAATTGCCCAAGGGCCAATGACTTAACATGCCTCTGTAATGGGATCTCCATAAGTGTTCAGATTTTAGGCTTGGGTATGGGTGCCTATGCAAGGAATACAAACTTGAGAAACATTTAACTTTCATCCCACAAACTTTACCTGTTCACATGTATTCTTTGTAAGCCAGTAAGTTGTTTTCCAATTCCTTGAGCCTTTATAGGCAAACTATCCAACTGAACCAAGAAGGGAAGCTTCATCATGAAGATGTAGAGCAACATGGGGAGTCATCATATGAAGGGGATGGAGGGCAGTCTGGTAGGGCTGACCCTTAATGGTCCCTACCTTCAAGTCATAAATTTTGGACACTGAGCAAAGGAAGAGAAAGTTGCTTGGTGTCAGAAATGTTGTAGAAGCCGGGCGCAGGTGGCTCACACCTGTAACCTAACTACAGGAGGCTGAGATCTTAAGATCATGGTTCAAAGCCAGCACAAGCAGGAAAGTCCACGAGACTCCTCCAAATAACCAACCAGAAAATCTGCTGTGGCTCAGAGGTAGAACACTAGACCATAGGCAAAAAAGCTCACACAGGCAAAGTTCAAGCCTACCAAATAGAGTTATGGCCACTCGCTGCTGGCTCACACCTGTAATTCTAGCTACTCAGGTTGAGATCTGAGGATTGTGGTTCAAAGCCAGCCCAGGCAGAAAAGTCCATGAGACTCATCTCCAATTAACCACCAGAAAACTGAAGTAGAGCTGTGGCTCAAGTGGTAGAGCACTTACCTTGAGCTGATCTCAGGGACAGCGCCCAGGCTCAGAGCTCAAGCCCCATGATTGACAGTAATAAAGTTGTGGAGTTTCCTTTATAATCTGCGTATTTACCTTACCTGAATATTTTGCTTATCTCCAGCTTATTAGTTGAGCCTATTGGAATCTATTGTTTTGTTTTCTAAATTTAAAATGCTCAATGTCATGCCTATAATTCCTAGCTACTGGGGGCTGGGAAGGTGGCTCAGTGGTAGAGTGCTTGCCTTGTATGCATGAGACCCTGGGTTCAATTCCTCAGCACCACATAAGGAGAAGCCAGAAGTAGCGCTGTGACTCAAGTGGTAGTGCTAGCCTTGAGCTGAAGAGCTGAGGGACAGCACACAGGTCAAGTTCAAGCCAAGACCGACAAAGAAAAAAAAATCCTAGCTACTCAGATTGACATATGAGAATCACGGTACCAGGACGAATTTTTAACTCTATCAGCAAAAATACAAACTTCATGGAGACATAGCTTAACACGAAGAGCACAAGCCAGCTGAGCAAGGCCCTGAAGTTCAAGCTCCAGTACTAACACACACACAAACACAAGAGAGGAGTGAGGGACATTAATGTTGGGGGGGGGGGAAGTTACACTAAAATAAGACAATCCCAAAAAGGTATTGTCAAAAGGGGTGGCTCACGCCTGTAATCCTAGCTACTTAGGAGTGCAGTTCAAAGCCAGCCCAGGCAGTAAAGTCTGTAAGACTCATCTCCAGTGAACCACCAGAAAACGAAGTGGCACTGTGGCATAAGTGGTAAAGCACTTGCCTTTAGCTGAAGAGCACAGGGACAGCACCCAGGCCGAGTTCAAGCCCCTCAATCAACAAAAAAAAAAAAAAGGGGGTGGAGGGAGGTGAGTACTAAAGACATAAAACACCAGTCCATTTTCAGCTCTTTTGCCTGGTTCCTAGCATACCAGGCTATGATGTTAAGCCTAGCAGATAGGCATAATGAAGTCATTAAATTTATGGAATCTGGCATCTTATGCTGTATCCTTAACCTCAAAATGGCTCACTTCAGAGTGTAACATTTATGTGTCAACAGACATAAAATTTACGTAAGTGTTATCAGCTAGTTTAGATGACTTTTAATTCACAGTACAGCATCCACTTTGAAAATATGTGCTTATGGGCTGGGAAGGTGGCTCAGTGGTAGGAGCGCTTGCCTTGCATGCATGAGGCCCTGGGTTCGATTCCTCAGCACCACATGAGCAAAAAGAAAAAATCCGGAAATGGAGCTGTGGCTCAAGTGGTAGAGCGCTAGCCTTGAGCTGAAGAGCTGAGGGACAGCGCCCAGGCCCCACCACTGGACTCAAAGGGAAAAAAAAAAAAAAAATATATATATATATATATATATATATATATATATCATATATGTGCTTAAGTTCTTCCCAGCTATACTAGTATCAAGAATTTCAAAATGACTACACACTATTTTCAAAGCCTAACAACTGCCAACTATACACATGATTTTTATATCTTTTTTTTGGGGGGGTCCGGTCGTGGGGCCTGAACACTATCCCTCAGCTGTTCAGCTCAAGGCTAGCACTCTACCCCTTGAGACACAGTGCCACTTGCGGCTTTTTTCTTTTTGCTTATGTGGTGCTGAGGAATCGAACCCAGGGCTTCAGGCATGCAAGGCAAGCGCTCTACCACTGAGCCACCTTCCCAGCCCTGACTTTTGTATCTTTTTTTTTTTGGGGGGGGGGGGTCCGGTCGTGGGGCCTGAACTCTGGGCCTGGGAACTGTCCCTCAGCTCTTTAGCTCAAGGCTAGCACTCTACCACTTGAGTCACAGCGCCACTTCCGGGTTTGTTTTTTTTTGCTTATGTGGTGCTGAGGAATCGAACCCAGGGCCTCAGGCATGCAAGGCAAGCGCTCTACCACTGAGCCACCTTCCCAGCCCGATTTTTATATCTTAATGAGGTGCTGCCCTTTCAGCTTTCTTAGTTTCCTGTTCAGAAACCCATGCTAATCTGGCTTAATTCTGGCCAATTTCTCACATTTCTAAAATATCCACACCTGGCATGGTATATGCCTGTAGTTCTAGTTACTTAACTGGGTTAAGATGATCGTTTGAGAACAAACTTGAGCAACATGGTGCAACCCCACCTTCACATACAAAAAAATAATCCAGCCAGCACTGGTGGCTCATGCTTGTAATCTTAGCTACTCAGGAAGCTGAGTGGTTCAAAACCAGCTAGCAGAGAAAAGTCAGTGAGACTCCTACTTCCAATTAACTTCTAGGGCTAGGAAGGTGGCTCAGTGGTAGAGTGCTTGCCTTGCATGCCTGAGGCCCTGGGTTCGATTCCTCAGTACCATATACACAGAAAGAGCCAGAAGTAGCACTGTGGCTCAAGTGGTAGAGTGCTAGCTTTGAGCAAAAGCAACTCAGGGACAGTGCCCAAGCCTTGAGTTCAAGCCCCAGAACTGGCAGAAAAAAAATCCAATTAACTCTTATATCCAATTAAGGCCTAAGCCCTACATTAACTGCTTGGATTTGGGATGAACAAACCTAAACACATGATGGCTCCTTTAGTTCTTCTATTGAATAAAGACTCAAGAGGCAATATATGCATTAAAAACATAATAAAAACACAATTTTATTAACAAATATACAAAACATACACAGTTCAATTACTGTGTCTTACAAATTTCACTTCTGTAAAACCAACTGATATTACACAATATTTACAAGAATATATACAAAACTCCCACCTGTATGTAATCTCTGGTCCACTTATGCTCTCTTCAAGAGAAACCTAAAAATGGTAACATTTTACTATTAAGTACATATGTTTTGTATGGGTTTTTAATTGCAACAATTATTGATAACTGACTCAAAGAGATAATGCTAGGAACAGAAACTTGCAATAAAGTGCAATTTTAGGCAATCTTAGCCATTAGTTTTCTTCTTTTAGACTGGTATCCATAGTCCATATGGACTTTTTTTCTTATCTATCTTTGGCAATCCTGAAGATGTTTCTTCAGCAGCCGCTTTAGCTGTTTTCTGTATTGGCTTCGCAACAGAATTCTGTAAGGCAATAAATTAAAATCAGCTTCTTACACACAAATCATATAGATCTGTTTTTCACAAAATATACCAATTCCATTTAAAGAGTCATTATCAAGCAAAAGCACAAGCCTACACAATGTGAATGCAAACCTTTATTTTTGCCAGTCATGAGGCTAGAACTCTGAGCCTGGGCACTGTGCCTGAGCTCTTTAGCTCAAGGCAAGCACTCTACCACTGGAGCCACAGCGCCACCTCCAAACCTTTTTTTCTGTGTGCCATTCAAGGGGCTTGAACTGGGGGCCTGGGTACTGTTCTTGAATTTTTGTTGATCAAAGCTAAAGCTCTACCACCACTTCACTTCCAGTTTTGGTTCTTAATTGGAAATTAGTATCTCATGGACTTTCTAGCCCTCACTGGCTTCAAACCTTAATCCTCAGATCTCAGCCTCCCTGAGTATCTGGGGTTCCAGGAGTGAGCCCCTAGCCCCCAAGCAAATGTTTTAACATTCTGAACCCAATCTGAATAATGATTTACATACACTTACATTAGCACTAAAAGCTATGTTTCTTCTCTGTGGCGACTTTTCACTGAGATTTTTAGTTCCATCTTCCAATTGTTTTTCTGACAGCTAGACAGGTAAGAAAAAATAATTTTTTTAAAAACTTATCTTTGGATTTATAATTAGTGTATAAATAGAAGCCCAACCATATACACCACAGCCTAAACAACACACACAACTGTTGAGCTGTCCAATAATCAAGACTGACTTAATAGCAGGTCACACTTCCCCACACTTTTTATTCACCTGCTCCAAATTCAAATGAACAATTTTTAAAGCCTTGCCAGTTTGGCACCTCACTGCCTGAAAAGTAACTACACTTGTCTAATCCTAATATTGTAACTGGATCCCAACAGTAAATTCATTCAGACCAGTTATCTTTACTTTGACATCAATTTCTACCTTGACTTTTGAAGCTATCAATTTTAAGCTTTAGATTTCATACAATTAACAGGAAATAGTGTTGTTTTCCAGTGTACATCCAGCATATTTCTGGAGAATTATAATAAACTTATCTGCAAGTGAAGCAGGCCTCCTCTTCTGTAATCTCTCAAAACATCTGGAATATATTGCATATATTATGAAAGGGACATCTATACCACAGATGCCCCACCATTAAGAAGTGTTCCTTTGCTTAATTTAAAACTGTCTTTACTACCCTATGCAAACAGTACCTGTCCCAAATTCTAGCATGCACATGGAACAAGAAAACTGATCTTTTGGTGTGTGAATGTAAAATTAAACCGCTGATGCTTTAGCCCATGTATCAATTACCAACAGATTTTCTTCATCATTGTCTGGAGACCACATTCATGATTTCTATAAGACAGAAATAAAGCAGATAAACTATACTGTATGTTGAGCACAGACTTGTGGGAACACAATGTGGAAATTGAAAGCTACAGATAAAACACTCTGTCTATAAAGACTAGAGTAAGAAAAATTTGATGATAATAAGACATCACTAAAGTACCAGCAACAACATATCTTCAGTGTTCTCATGAAAGTACTAATACAGTGTGATTGAAATTTCATTACCTCCCAACTTCATGGGTGTGACTTTCTGTCATTTGTTAGATTTGCTTTGTTTTTGGCAAATCAGACTTCTTGATAGTATAGGTAAACTTAAAAATGGTTATGTAAGGTCTTTCTGGCAGTAAGCATTCTGAAGATCTTATCATGATAAAGCTAGAGTAACTTACCTCGAACTTTGCCCCACTTGGTATAGCTGTTGCACGGCTTTTTTCTTTGGCTATACCAACAGTTCTGAGGCTGGCTGGCAAGTCAATGTTCGTTGTTCCCAAAGCTTTTGCTGCATTGGCTTTTGCAATTTCTAACAGCTCCATTCGATCTAGGAAAAGACAGACATTGTCTATAACACAGGCAGACAAAAATCCCTACCTCATCTTGCTGAGAAAATGCAGTACTCCTACATATAAAAACAACCAGTTTCCATTTCCCTAAGTTTTATTACTCCATTCATTGCTCGACCTGAGGAATGTTCTTTGCCGACTTTATATGGCCTAATTGTCTTAACTATCAAACCAATACTGACATGTTACTAACACCCATGTTTAATACAAATTTCTTTATAAAGTACTGGGAAAACTCAAGTTTGCCGAGTAGCAATTAGCTTTAGAAAAGGCCTGTTTTGACAAATGTTTTTGCCCTTCCATCGTTAGGATTAGGGTCCAGACGGTGACTTTAATACTTTCCAGATGACCCAGGTGAGGCCGTCCCGCTCCCCGTGTCTCCGTCCCCGTCCCCACTCCCTCCCGGGAAAACCACCACCCAACTGCGGGCAGGAAGTAAACAAGGCAAGTCCTGAACCAGCCCTGCGGCCCAGCAGAAAGCGGAAGTGGCGCGACGCCCCACCTTTCTCGGTGAGCCGGAAGGGGGTCCTGCTCCGCGAGCGGCTGCGGGTCCGCTCCCGCCATCGGGGGCGCTCTTCCGGGTAGCGGGTGCGGCCGAAGCCGTAGTAGCGCCGTCCCGGCGCCAGCACGTCGTCGGCCCTCGAGCGGCCGTAGCGCGAACGCGAGCGGCTGCGGGAGCGGCG